AAGACCAGAAATTGAATATAATCCTCAATCATTTACAAATTACAAATGACCACCAAATAAAGAATCCATTAAACTCTTTGATAAAGCTATGTAGTAAATCTTTAACATATTTGTGCAAAATAAACTCAAAAAAGGAAATTATTAGAAACCTCATGGGTGATACGCTCCCCAATTCACTGTAAAATGATTTGTTTTAACTTACATTAACGTGGCTGCCCTAAAACAGGTTTGTTACATTTCTATAAAAAGCTAACAGGATCTAAGACATAAAGAACTGATCTGATAACTCACAGTTTGAGATTCAGCACACTCAAAAAGGCAGGAATGCTACTTTTTTTTTCAACATTATGGGAAATTCCATTTTTACAGTTTGATACTGGACAGTAACATAAAACAAGCGGAACATGATTATATGTATTTTGATTTTAAGTGATTTCATTTACTGAGGGAAAACAGTTATCCAACACCAACTGGCTCTATGTGAAAAAGTACTTGCCCACTGAGTTACTCATCAATTAATGATATTAACTTGATATTTGGGATGAAGTAAAATAGACACACCCATACATGACTCCACATTTAGAAAGAGACTGGAGAAAAATGATATCAGTGGGAGAGCTGCAAGGCAAAACCATGGCTAACCAAGAAGAACATACAGGCTTGTCTCACATTCTCCAAAAAAACATCTTGATGACCCCCAAGCTTTTTGAAATAGTGTTCTGTGGAATAATGAGTCAAAAGTGAAATATTTTGGAAAACAGGGGTGCCATTACATCTGGTGTAAAGCTAAGTCAGCATTCCATAATAAGAAAACCATACCAATTGTGAAACATGGAGGTGGTAGTGTGATGGTGTGAGGGTGCTTTGCTACTTTAGGGCCTCAGTGACTTGTCATAATTAACGGAACCATGAATTCTGCTCTTTACAACAGGTTCCTACAGGAGAATATTTAGTCATCAACGATGATCTAAAGTTCAAGCATAATTGAGTTATACCACAACTAGACAACAATCCCAAGCATAAGAGTACATCCACCTTTGGATGGCTCAAACAAGATTAAGGTTATTGAGTGGCCTTGTCAAAGTCCTGACTTAAACCCATTGAGATGCTGTGACACCTCATGCTCAAAGGCCTTGGCTGAATCAAAGCGAGAAAAGAGTGGACCAAATGACTTTGAGTGTTTGGTTACAGTTATTCAGGCAAAAGATGGCTCAACCAGTTATTTAAGTTTAGGGGCAGTTACTTTTTTGTTTTTCTTCAAGTTCTCCTTGCCTTATATTACATTTTATATGAGTATCCCAAACCATGTTGTGACGAATCAGACTCAGAAACTTGAGAAGGATCAATATGCACATTTAATGACAAAAAGGGCAGTCCAAAACTCGATGTCAAAAGGCTAAGGAAAAAAGGGTCATAACAGGGAAATCAGTCCAAAAAGCCAGGCAGGCAGAGCAAAAGGGGTAAAAGGCAAAAGCAGAACCCAATAGATCAAGCAGAAGTTCAAAATACCAGCAAGACAGACAAAACAAACGCTCAGTAGTCAGACACAAGAGAACTGGCAATACTTGGCACTGACTGGCTGAATGGGAGGAGTATTTAAGGTGTGACTAATTAACAGATGAGGTACAGGTGGTTTGATTTGGGAACAGGGCTACATTTACATTTAGAGCATTAAGCAGATGCTCTTATCCAGAAAGACTTACAAGAAGTGCTTTGTCTATCTAGAGAAAGTATCTTTGCTAGTTACCAATAGGTTAGAGAGAGACCTGAGCTCAGAAACTGCTAGAAACAAAAAGTCACGGTTGATACCCAGAGAAAAAGGAACAGCGTTAAACACAGAACCGTGCTATACAATACATTACATAAGTGCAGTACAATGCATTACAGTCAATACTTAATTCAGTGCTCATTTAAGTGCTGTATAAAAAGATGTGTCTTCAGTCTGTGTTTGAAGACAGCGAGAGACTCTGCTGTACGGACAGCCAGTGGGAGTTCGTTCCACCACCTGGGTGCCAGTACAGAGAACAATCTTGATGCTTGTCTTCCACGTGCCTTGAAGGATGGCGGGTCAAGCCGAGCTGTGCTCGAAGGCCGAAGGGCTCGTGGTACAGTTCGAGATTTCACCATTGCCATCAAGTAGGTAGGGGCTGGTCCATTTTTGGCTTTGTAGGCAAGCATTAGGGTTTTAAATCTGATGCATGCAGCTACAGGCATCCAGCGAAGGGAGCGCAGCAGTGGGGTGACGTGGCTGAACTTGGGGAGATTGAAGACGAGCTGTGCTGCTGCATTCTGGATGAGTTGCAGAGGCTTGATGGCCTGCATTGGAAGACCAGCCAAGAGCAAGTGGCAGTAGTCAAGCCTTGAGATGACAAGAGACTGCACTAGCACATGGGTGGCCTCTCAAGTAAGAAAGGATCGGATCCTCTGGATGTTGTACAGGAGAAATCTGCATGACCGAGTTAGGTTCACGATGTCATGCCAAGACTTCTTGCCTCTACAGACAGAACAATCAGAGAGTTCTTGAATGGGATGGCAAGATCATGATGAGGACCTGTAGTTGCAGGGATGAATAGCAGCTCAGTCTTGCTAGGATTGAGCTTCAGGTGGTGAGCTGCCATCCATGAAGAAATGTCAGACAGACATGCCGAGATGCGACTGGAAACCTGTGTGTCAGAGGGTGAGAAAGAAAGTATAAATTGAGTGTCATCAGCATAACAATGATAAGAGAAGCCATGAGATGATATTACATCACCAAGAGAGCTAGTGTAAAGAGAAAAGAGAAGAAGACCCAGCACCGAGCCTTGTGGGACACCAGTGGAGAGCCTGCATGGAGAGGATGTGGACCCTCTCCATGTTACCTAATAAGAGCGATCCTCCAGACAGGACTTGAACCACTTCCACGCAAAGCCAGTGATTCCAAGGTTGGTGAGGATGTCCAGAAGGAATGTATGGTTTGACCATGTCAAAAGCTGCTGAGAGGTCAGAAGAATCAGGACAGATGACAGTTTTGCTGATCTTGCTGACTGGAGCTTCTCGGTCACTGCTATAAGGGCTAGTACTCTGGAGTACTCTGGTGGCCAATCAGTAAGTTGCTGACACATGTAGTGTGACAAATATGCAAAATTGGAGAAAACAACAGTGGCCTCTTTCCTCTCAGTCACCTGGGCTGAAGATAGAGATGGAACATTTACAGGACATTAGATTAGAAGGAGGAGAAACATATGAAAGAAAGTAATCGAAATACAGTGTTTGAATTTGAACAGTGTTTGAACTATTTTTAAGCTAAATGTCTCAGGCCAGCAGAGTGAGCTCCTGTAGTGGGGCTGACCGGCCCTGTGCAAGAATCAAACTTACGCCTCTGATACTAGAGACCAATGCACAACAAGGCATGTCACCTACTGTAGACAAACACAAACTCAAGTGCAGAGCTGAACTCAAAAAATGATCAAACTAGCAGAGAAAATTAGAGCAGTGAAAGGAATAAACTTAAAACACTCTGCAAAAAACAGAAACTCAGTCACTCTGAGGTGGATGTGACCTGTGGAACTATGGGTTTGAAAGCTATCACAACCAGGGTGAACTAGAGGGAGGAGCAGAAATAGGTTACAGAGTAGCATACAAGCAAAGTGTATTGAGATCACTTTTTCAGGCAGTAATAAGTAACGTAATCACATTTAGTAATTAAGGAGTAATTAGGGACTTATTCTTTTTTTTTTTAGTTACTACCCCAACATTGGTGGCCAAAGAGTTCCATTTTTCATCATTGATCAGCAAACAGCTCTTGCAAAATGTCTCTAGTTCATCTAGATGTTGTTTTAAATGTCTCAGACATTGATTTTTGTGATGAGGCCACAGGTCATGTTTCCTTCCAATTAAAATTTGGTTTACTTTAATAGTGATTATGTAATTTCCTGGATGCCTGTTCATCTATATAATAACTCTGTGATGTTTCCAGGAGGAAAATAGTTTTGCTTTGGAGTCTGGGTTCTTCACAAAATCTTTTGCTAATCAAATCTGAAGCTCTGAATCATAATGAGATTTTTATCATGTTGTAATTGTCAACATGTGTGTGAAGATGTGAAGATGTTAAGTCAGTTTGTGTTTTTGTTCCATCCTGTTCTGTGTCAGTGTGTTGATGTATATTGTGACCATCCTCCAGGCTGTTTGGTTTGTTTTGCCCTGAATGTGTTGCAGGTGAAATTGGGAGGTGGACCTTGGATCTAATTGGCTACTGAGACACACTGGTGTGCAGGTGTTTGAGTCTGTTTAAAAGGCTTTCCAATGTGGAGAGCAGGAGCCTCATCATCTACCTCAACTGTTTGTTATGGACTGGCTGGAGTCTGGTCTGTAACAATGTGGGGACTTTTTTTTTTGGCTGAGCTTTTTCATGGCTAGAATATTTGCTGGGGTTGGCATTTTTTGAAGAGGGGGAGGCAGGTGCGGTATGGTTGAATTAAAAATATTTCCTGTTAGCACTGGGCTCATATGATTAGTTTGGTTTTGTTTTGGTGCCAGTTTGATTCATATTTTGTGTGTTGGAAGCTGTCTCCCTTGGTAGGTACGTACATTTGGTCATGTTAGCCCTTTTTTGTTTTAGTTTGTTATTTTCGAATGATGATCGAACATCAAGCATGTGTTTTTCTTTTAAAGGCTTTACAATGTGGAGAGCTGGGGCCTGTTTTCTCTGTTTCTCTTTACTGCAGGTTTATTTTCTAGCCATCTTGGGGCTAATGCTGTCAGCAATCCAGCAGGTGGGCTTCAGTAGGGCTTTCTTTGTGTTTTGCAACCCATTTTTAAATAGATTGGAAAATACAAATCAAATCAAATCAAATTTATTTGTATAGCGCTTTTTACAACTGAAAATAAGGTTTTGCTACAACTTTCACTGATTGTCTCTATTAATTATTTGTTATGAACTGGCTCGAGGCCAATTCTGTACTGTAGCTGGGTTTTACTGTATGTAAATGCCATCTGTCCCTCTTTTTCTTTCCTTTCTGCAGATTGTCTGGCTGTATGGTTACAGATGAAGGCTGTTCTTCTCTGGCTTCAGCTCTGAAATCAAACCCCTCACACCTGAGAGAACTGGATCTGACTTATAATCACCCAGGGGAGTCTGGAGTGAAGCTGCTGTCTGATCTACTGGAGGATCCACAATGTAAACTGGAGAAACTACAGTGAGTTACTGACTTACTGTCTCTGTACACAGACTGTAATTATCCACATTACTGACTGTAATGTTTTACAGCATATGTGTTTGTTTTTGAATTGCGACTGAACACATTTTACACGCTGAGTTTAACTTCTTACAGACTGAACACATCTTACACACTGAGTTTAACTTCTTACAGACTGAACACATCTTACACACTGAGATTAACTTCTTACACACTGAACATGTTTTACACACTGAGATTAATTTTTTAAACACTGAACACGTCTTACACACTGAGGTTAACATCTTACAGACTGACTGAACATATCTTACACATTGAGTTTAACTTTTTACTGACTGAACACATCTTATGTACTGAGTTTAACTTCTTACAGATTTATGAAGAGCATATTTAGGCCATAATTCTAACTTCTCTCACACTCACTATCAAACCTCTCACGCTCACTATCAAACTCTCTCACACTTGCTATCAAACTCTCACACTCACTATCAAACTCTCACACTCACTATCAAACTCTCTCACACACACTATCAAACTCTCTCACACTCACTATCAAACTCTCTCACACACACTATCAAACTCTCTCACACTCACTATCAAACCTCTTACACTCACTATCAAACTCTCACACTCACTATGAAACCCTCTCACACTCACTATCAAACTCTCTCACACTCACTATCAAACTCTCTCACACACACTATCAAACTGTCTCACACTCACTATCAAACCTCTTACACTCACTATCAAACTCTCACACTCACTATGAAACCCTCTCACACTCACTATCAAACTCTCTCACACACACTATCAAACTCTCTCACACACTCACTATCAAACTTCTTACACTCTCTATCAAACTCTCTCACACTATCAAACCTCTTACACTCACTATCAAACTCTCACACTCACTATGAAACCCTCTCACACTCACTAGCAAACCTCTCACACTCACTATCAAACTCTCTCACACTCACTATCAAACTCTCACACTCAGTATCAAACTCTAAGGCGTTGTTGATAGAGAATGTGAGACTTTGACAGAGAGTGAGGGAGAGCTTGAAAGAGTGTATGAGAGAACTTGATTCACATTTTCTGATTGGTCCAGAGAGTTCTCATTTAAATTATCAGTTTCTGATTTGCTTATAGTCAAATACGCCTGTCCCCCACATTTGGTAGTCCACTCTTAAAAAAAGATGTTTCCTCAAGTGTCCTTTAGTAAAGACAGTGGTTCTATATAGAACTGGAAACACAAAAAGAACTATTTGCATGATTAAAGAGCTCTTTTCATGGTGAAATGGTTCTTCAGATTGATAGACAATGTGCTGTATACGGTTCTACATATGACTGAAGTCTTTTTAATGCTATAGAGATCCGTGTATCTTTGGGTTGTTCCATTTTCATTTCAAAAACAGTACTGAGAAACAGGAAAGTGGGTCAGTTATGGTTTTTTATTCTGTTATTATCAGTGGAAAAATCAGGAAATAGATTTGTTTCCCAGTTTCACAAACTAATCATAAACTTCATTATAGTGACTGTGTTACAGCTCCAGACTTAAGAATTAAAGCTCTGAGCTCCGCTGTCCTGTGTTCATTTTGTTCATATGATACTGTGGGGGCTCCGGATTTGGGAAGAGTTTCAGAGGCGCGGTATGCAGAGCTGAGCTGTGGCTCCGCCCCCATAAAAAAAAGGGACTGTGTTGTGGTATAATGTTGTTAGTGTTGTTGTTGTTCTGTTAGTCTAAAATGTATGTGTGTGTTATTTGTGTTATTCTGTAGCCTGTCCTGTGTCTTCTTCACCAACACACTCATCACTCATCTCACAGTGAGGCACCAACAACCAGCACCTTCGGTACATTAAACTAAACTCTCACTGCCAGACTCTGTGTTCGGCTTTAGATCCTGTTGTGCTGTTTGTTGTAAAAGAAAAGTGTGGATTAAACGTTATTTACACACAGAAAGAACCGAACAAATAATAATAATAAGAAGAAGAAGAATGTTTATTTATATAGGACCTTTCATACATCTAAAATACAGCTCAAAGTGTTTTACAATACAAAATAAAAACAGAAGAAGTAGACAAAAACATCAAAAATTAAAACAAAATATAATAAACAGATAATAAATAGCAGAACAAGAGCATATAGTAATAGTAATATTCCAGTAAAAACAAAGGAAACTAGTTAAACGCTAAAGTAAAGTAATATGTTTTTATCTGTTTTTAAAACACTGACACTGGAGGAGCCTGATGGATGTTTATTGGTAACATGTTTCAGACCTTTGGTGAATTAAAAATAAAACACTGCCTCTCCGCTCTGTTTAAGTTTCATACGTGGAACATGGAGAAGCAGCACTGGAGGATCTTAAAGCTGGATTAGGAAAATCATTTATCAGTACTCAGAGATGTATGAAGCTGCTAAACCATTAGAGATTTAAAAACTTGTAATAAAGTTTTATAGTGGATTCTAAAAGAAACAGACAGCCAGTGCAGTGATGCTAAAACTGGTCTAATATGATCCTGTTTTCTAGTCTGTGTTAAAATTCGCACTACTGCATTTTGCAAAAGTTGTACTTTGTTGGTTGTACTTGCAGGACAAGTATTCTGTGGTCTATAGTATCAAATGCAGCAGTTAAATCCAGAAGCATAAGTACAGAAACATCATTAGCATCAGCATTTATTGTCAGATCATTCACAACCTTCACTAAAGCAGTTTCAGTGCTGTGATTTGCTCTGAAGCCAGACTGGAATTTTTAATTAATATTACATTAATTTAGAAATTCATTAAGCTGTGAAAGACTATTTTTCAATTATTTTACTGGAACACTGGTCTGTACTTGCCAGGAATTGAGGGATCAAGGTTCTGTTTCTTCAGTAGTCGTCTTACAAGTGCTGCTTTGAATGTGTCTGGAAAAGTGCTGGTTTCCAAACAACAGTTTACTATATCCAGCACACCTGGACAAAGGGTGTCAAATACTTCTTTAAAAATGCTGTTGTAACAGGATCTAAAATACAGGTAGAAGAATTTAACTGCATGACAACTTTCTGAAGTTCTGCCTCAGTGATCTTTTTAAAACTATTCATAGTGTTTTGTTGTTGAATTGGTAGTTTTGGTGTGATAAAATGGTAGTTTGGAGTAATAAAATGTGACCAAATGTTAGTGATTTTTGTATTAAAAAAAACATTACATTTTGATGTTGAAGCCTCAGTGAGATAATCATTGGTTAATTTAGAATTTAACAGGTGATGAATTATTAAAAATAGAACTAAATTATTAAAATAAAAATAAAATTTGTTTCAGTTGACTAAGTTTTGAGTAATATTTCTGTCTTTTTGTTCATACTTAATTGTTATAAATATTAATACAGTTTTTAAGAATTTCATAAGGAATATTTTGTTTAGTTTTTCCTCCATTTCCATTGTGCTCTGCATCCCTTTTAAATTGGTTTATCTGTTCATTTTTCTATGGCATTTTTGTGGTCAAAGACTACAAGTCTAGAACAAATCTTAGTTTACAGTTAAAATTTTTGACAATGTCGTGCCCTGTTGAGTTAACAAGTAGAGGAGGTTTGTTATGTAGAGAGTTACTTAAAGTAGCTGCTGTTAATGTTAAAATACCGCTTTTCTTCATTTTTGTTTTTCAGAAGCAGACGTACTAAAAACCCACAGTAGAGATCAGAAATTGTGATATCAAGGACTTCATTTATATTAATATCAATTTCGTTTATATTAATATCAATTTATATTAATAAATAAACCTCAAGACTGACTAAATCTAAAGTGTGGCCATGAGTGTGTGTTGGACTAGTTCTGTGCTCAAAATCAAATGTGTTTAATAAATTCAGAAGCTTTTTTGTCTGAAGCTTCATCAACATGAACATTAAAATCACTGTGAGAAGAATCCGATCATGATTAGTTACACAGACAGTAGTTCAGACAGTTCTGGTAAGAAGGAGGTGCGTATTTGGATAGATGATAAACAACCAACAGCAACACTGGTTCCTGACCTTTAAGTAGAACCACAAGATATTCAAAAGAAGAAACTGTTCCAAATGAAATGTTTTTACAATTAAAAATACTGGAGAAAACACAGCTAGACCACCTCCCTTCTTACCTTCAATACAGAACAGATAAAATCATAATTCTGTTCAGCAGTTTCAATCAGGGAAACTGCCCCGTCTGAACTAAGCCAGGTTTCAGTATCGTAAAGTCCAGTTTGTGTTCAGAAATAAGATGATTGACAGTGCTGGTTTTGTTAGTTAGAGCTCTTACATTCAGCAGTGCTGTTCTAAAATCTCTATCTGACTCTGTTACGGTGCAACAAACTTACAAACTTCAACTAACTTTAATTATTTATTCCCTTAGTTTCTGAAGTTCGTACTGCATTTCGACTGCTTACTACAGTTTGAATAGAGAAGTAACCATTAGTACCAGATGAGCTGCTGTTTGTTTTATTTATTTCTCCATTTTTACATCACATTTTACTGATTCCTTTCTCGTAGTGCGGAGATAAAAATGTAGATCAGTTGAGACTTAGGTGGAGAATTTTTGGCCGACACAAAAAGTGTTCCAACTGTCAGTAAAACCCAAGTTATTGTCCTCAGTCCACCTTTTCAACCATTCGTTTAGCACGTAGAGTGTGCTAAAAATCTCTTTTCATCTTCTATACATTGGCAGAAGGCCAGAAACTACAGCTCTGGCTATTGGTTGTTCCTGTATGCTATGCAAAAGTGCTGTAAAATGGTCTTTTAAACCTTTGCTCTCTCGATCTTGTGATAAAAGAGAGGAATAAAACAGACACTTCACCTTTAGCTTTGCTCTATTGAGTTTGATTATTAGCTACCTGTCCTAGCAGTGTGAGTTAGAGTTCACTAGTTTATCACTTTGATTTAGAGCACAGAGCCTAGCTCTGTGAATTAGAGCTAATTATCCTAGCAGTGTGAGTTAGAGCCTAGGTGTGACTAGCATGTTTATCCAAGATGGCAGTGTGTGCACACGCTGCGGCTTCTCTCACTCCAGACGAAATGGTGTTTTCATGTTTTTTGTCCTGCGAGTGGTAGGGTTTTTGTACGTCTTCATCGCGTTTACCTGTCCTGAAGCACACATACAGCCGTGAGTTCCTGCTCGACATTGGCAGAACCTCATTTTGAAGAGCTACGAGCCTGCAGTTTGCTTAGGAGTCCAGCACCAACACCGCCCCCCACTCCTGCATCTCGCCCAGAGTGGAGGCGCCACAAGCGGTATGAACGGAAGCAGAAGAGGGGTAAGCGTGGAGGTATCCGAGCTAGGCTAGCGGCTAGCCCACACAAGCCGGCCATCCCCACCATAGTACTGGCCAACGTACGCTCACTGGACAACAAACTGGACTACATACGCCTGCTACGCACAACTCAGAAGTCTGTGAGAGACTGTTGTGTGTTTGTGTTTACGGAAACATGGCTCAGTAACAACATCCTGGACCACGCCATTCAGCTCGAGCGGCTAACATGCTATCGAGTGGACAGAGCCCTCGTTGAAGGAGGTAAGACCCGCGGTAGGTGGGCTTTGTGTTTACATCAATGACGCCTGGTGTCGAGACGCTGCTGTGGTCTGCAAACACTGCTCACCGTTAGGGGAGCTTATGGCTATTAAGTGCAGGCCATTCTACATCCCGAGGGAATATACGGCCGTTATAATTGTTGCTGTTTACATCCCTCCGAGCTCCAATAACAACAATATGAGTGAGGCACTGAATGAGCTGTATCAACACATCAGTGAGCAGCAGACAGCCCACCCTCATGCTTTTCTCATCTTGGCTGGAGATTTCAATCATGCAGACCCAAAGAGTGTGTTTCCAAAAATATATCAACACATAAACTTTCCAACATGGGGAAAAAAACACACAGGACCATGTTTACACCACCCAGAAAGAAGCTTACAAGGCCATTCCCCTCCCCCACCTTGGTGCCTCTGACCACGCCACTGTTATGCTAATGCCAGCATACAGACCACTGGTTAAAGTCACCAAACCAGTTTGGAAGCAGGTACACGTGTGGCCAGAAAGGTCTTCAGAGACACTTCAAGACTGTTTTAACACCACAGACTGGAATGTGTTTAAACAAGTGGCGACCTACAACAACACCACATATCTCCAGGAGTATGCCGACTCAATCACTGGCTACATCTCCAAGTGCATTGAGGATGTGACTGTTCTCAAGCCCATCACAGTCCAGGCCAATCAGAAGCCATGGCTGACAGGGGAGGTATACAGACCACTGAAGGCTAGAAATGCTGCCTTCTCAGCAGGAGACAAGGTGGGCCTGAAGGCAGCTAGGAACAACCTGTTCCGTGGCATCAGAAAGGCAAAGAGGCAGTACTCCAGGAGGATAGCCCATTGCTTCAGCGACAGCAGAGATACACAGAGCCTGTGGCGGGGAATACAGCCTGGCCTTGTGGTGTAGACACAACAATCTCTATCTGAACATTGAGAAGACGAAGGAGATTGTTGTGGACTTCTGGAGAATGTGTACCCAGCATGCTTCTCTGACCATCAACGGTGCTGCTGTGGAGAGGGTGAACAGCATCAAGTTCCTGGGCGTGCACGTCACAGAGGACCTCTCCTGGACCAACAACACAGCATCACTGGCCAGAAGGGCTCACCAGCACCTCTACTTCCTTCGCAACTGAGGAAAGCCAGAGCCCCAGCACCCATCATGTGCACTTCCTACAGAGGTACCATCGAGAGCATCCTGACCAGCTGCATCACTGTGTGGTATGGCACCTGCGTGAGAGCAGCTGCGAAGATCACTGGCACCTCCCTCTCCTCCCTCCAAGAGATATACAGCTCCCGTCTAACCCGAAAAGCCCTCTGCATGGCAGGTCATCCCACTCACCCACTGCACAGCTTCTTCAGCCTGCTGCCATCAGGGAGGAGACTGCGGAGTCTCCGGGCCAGGACCAGCAGACTGGGGGACAGCTTCATCCACCAGGCTGTCAGGATGCTCAACTCTCTTCCTACTTTGCCCCCCCTCCCCTCACTTCTGCCCCCCACACACACAAAGTTTGAACCAAAGCACAGGTTCCTGACCCCCACTCCCCAATACTGAACACATTCTCAGGGAATGTTACGCACTCATCACTTTAACTGCTCCATAAGCTCATCCTATTGCACTACTGTTTGCACTATTATACCCACAGATCTCAATCTGTATGTGCCTATGTCACTTTAATGTTAATTTCAAAACCTTCTTATATTTATATAATTTTTTTTTTTTTAATTATTCTATTTTCCTACAATTAGTGTTTATTTTTACGATTAGTGTTTTAGTGTTTACTTAGTGTCTGTTTAAATTCACACTGTTTACCATCTATTTAATGTGATCGCTACACCATGGAGTTTGAGAGTAACACAATTTCAATACTCTGTATGTCCTGTACATATTGTAGTACTGACATTAAAAGCTGACTTGACTTGACTTGATTTAGAGCCAACGTGCCTAGCAATCTAGCAGCATGATTTAAAGCTAACTAGTGTAGTAGTGTGATTTAGAGGCATGTAGCCTAGCATGTTAATTTAGAGCTAATTTGGCCAGCAATCTAACAGCTTGATTTAGAGCTAACAAGCCTATCAGTACTATTTAGAGCTAATTAGCCTAGGAATGTGATTTAGAATTCATTAGCCTAAGAGTGTGATTTAAAGCTAATCACCACAGCAGTTTGATTTATAGCTAACTAACCTAGCATTGTGAGTTTGAGCTAA